AGGGGGACTAAGGTTGGCACCCAATAAAGCATTGTAACGACCACACTGCTAGCATTCTACATACACAGCGACAGCCAATTGCCTTACGGTCAATTGCTTTGGCACCTACGGATCATAGCCACAACACAGGGATGGAACAGCACAATACAGTATATGGACTATTTCATAGCACACACAAGGCCACATCAAGGATAGCACTGACAAGGAGCTGGGTAGCTTACCGCCCACCTCCCACAACACACGGATCCTGCAAACTTCGCACTCACAGCATAGATTACTTGGATCACATGGAAGTCCACAGCATGATTTACATTGTGCATTGCAGGGACGCTGGACCCGATTTCCAGCAGGTGTTGCTCCCCACTAATAGATGGAGCCATCTCGACACTGCTAGGGGCGCCTGCTCGTACCAGCGTCCCTAGCAGCCGATCGGGCTGTTTTCTTAAAAAAAAAAAAAAAAAAAAAAAAAAAAAAAAAAAAAAAGCATAGCTTAGCAGATTGTCCATGAATTTCCTGAATTTTTTGAAGTGTTCTCAGCCGAAGCTGGGTTATGGCCCCGGTACCTCAATGATTCTCCTGCATGCATGTCTAGGGGGGTGAGGTCCCACTAGCAAAGAGGATTGGACTGAATGACTGAATCTGGACGTGGTTTTGGACAGGTGTAGAAAATCAAGATTGAACTGCTTTTCTGCATCTCTGCTTAAAACGCATCCAGATTCAGGCGTTCAATCCAATCCAATCCTCTTTGGTAGTGGGATCTCACCCCAGTGCCACTTCATGCACGGTTCACCTCTACCCACAAGGAGCTCCATCACTCTTTTTTTTTCCCTTTTCTTTTTCATTTTTTTTTTTGTGGAGCTCCACAGCTGTTCCAAATGGACCTTGTTTGTGCCCTTGGTTCGCACTAGGGATCGCCACGTAGGAACACCCACTGACGAGGGAGTAAAGTGATTGGGATCATTGTATGCTTAATGATGATGAGACTTAGTACATGGATGGCGATTCATTCATAATGTTTGGCTCCCACATCCTTGCCCGTGGCAGTGTTTCGCAAAACTGGGCACCTCATCGGAGTGGCAGCGATGGATGTACGAGATCAGCCAGATATTGGAGCTTTCACTACGATAACTTTACGAATGAAGAACCCCCCACGCCAGATAACTTCTCTGCGGGTGAGTACCAGTGTACCATTGCTGCCTTCTCACCCTGAAAGAACATAAAGATTCTTCTTCTTCTTCTTCTTCTTCTTCTTTTGTCTTCTTCATTCCTTCTTCTTTCTTCTTCTTTTTTCTTCTTCATTCATTCTTCTTTCTTCTTCTTCTTTTTTCTTCTTCATTCATTCTTCTTTCTTCTGTTTTCTTTGCTCTTTCTTCTCATGCAAGGAACATGGATATGGAAGAAGCACAGAAATCCAGAATGCAAAATCACACTGAAGTTCAAGTAGTCAAAGCCAAAGCAGATAGCACAATGGAACCAAGTAACCATCCAATTGAGAATGATACAGAAGAATCGTGAGTCAATGTCCATTCCCTACAGGGCAACACCAACAGCAAACCCAATGTAGCTCTCTCTCATGAATGGCGCCAGGCGCCCTATCTACCCTACAGACTAAGCCTACAACTACAGCAATGAAAGCAACCAGACAACTTGACTACCAGCGAGTGATGATGTCAACACCAATGCCGACCTCCACCTCCACCAGGTACGTGTCCTCTTCACCCACACTCTCCCTTGTACCCACACAGCGCCCTTCACCTCCAAAGAACCACCTTCGCCCTTCACCTCTCCTGCACCCTCATGCGGCCCGGCTATGGCCGCCAGTGCCTTGCATGCAGGCAGCGCCCTACCGCCTAGCGCTGGCCTGCTTCACCTTAGCGCAGCGCAGCTCTGCACAGCGCAGCACACTTGCATTTACGCAGCGTGCCCGCAATGCCCTGCATTGGCCAGGATCCCTGCCCACTCGCCCTGCTTGCCTATATGCCAGTGCTGCGTGTGGGCGGCCTCCCTTCAGCCTG